CAGGGTAAACTCGAGAGCGGCTTGGAACAGGGCCAGACATATTCTACAAAGGGTCTTCTCTAAATCTCCTGAGATGAGACAGAAAAAGAACAAATGAAATTATACAATAAAGCTCTATTAAAATCACAGGGGCACAAATGTGCAAGACAAATACATACTGATGGTTACATAAGCATTTTTGAGTACTGGTTTAGCATCCAACTGTTATAAACAGCCTTGTATATAAAATGTTGGCCAAATATTGAAATATAAGACAGCACAGCATACCTGGGAGGTTTCCTCCAGGACAATGGTGAAAGGTGAACTGAAACAAAGTTGGCTGAAATGCCTCTACGGTAAGTAAGCTACATAGGAAAACAGACAAAAAAAAATACACACATATATATATTGTTAAAAACCATACCAGTTCTGGGCATTTATTAAATATTACAGGAAGAAATGATGAGCAACGTGTAGCAAAAAGTTTAAGACATATTTAGACTCTCTCAATGGTAGCCTGATTAAAACTTTCAAAAGAAAAATGTGAATATTCCCCACACGCTACAGAAGAGCAGTAATAATATCTTAAGTAAAACAGAGCCATTTTTAAAGTAAAACAGACACGTTTAAACAAAACTAAGGATAGCCCGGGGATGTCTAGTGTGTGGAAATGTGCTGGCGTATAAAATGGAGCAACCTGAATGTTAAATGGGGGCATCCAACCAGTCTAATCAGGAGGTACGGGGTTCAATACAGTCATCACTGGGGGCTACACCAAGCCAGTATCTCCTGTTGAAACGGGGCAGAAATGTAGGTTAATTAAAATCAACAGTATCAATCAGGAAAACACGAGCAGTGTGCTAGCCAACGTACGCCAACCACTATATAACGTTATTAAGCTTATGTCAAATTTACGAGCACACGAGGAGCATCCAGTCGACAAATGATCTATCTGATATGAGACACGCGTTCAGCTGGAGCCAGTTTGCCCGCTTAATACTTTGATGAAGAGGTGAAATGTGCGCACAAGCCTTCTGTGGCCCCACAAGGCCTACTGTGGAGCTAAGAGATAGCCGGGCAGCTGGCTTACATGCTAGTTAGCATTAGCTTCGCCAACTGCAGAGTAAAAAAAGCCGGGTACAAAGTCACAACAAGCTCTCGACCACACTATGGGTCTGTAACGGAAAGAAAATAATAATTCTGCGTTAAAGTAGTAAAACGACTTTCCAATTGGCCATTATTAAAGTGGAACTTCACAAAAAGCTTCGAAAAAATATATTTCTTAAAGCTAAAAAGTGCTAAGCTAACAAGCTAGGGGAGTGAATAGCCAGCTTGGCTGGCGAGGCAACTGGCTGACAACGCCTTGAAAAAACACCCTTGAATCACTGTGATCGAACAGCAGAATGGCGTCGCGGCTGTGTTACTTATCCATAGCCTTTCCTCGTGTGCATAGCACCCACAAATAGCTCTAAACCAACGAATATTTGCGATTAAATAACCCGATTACCTCTCAGCGTTGTTGGGACGTCAATATGGCGATGCTCGAGATCAAGAGCTTAGTGCGAACAGCCTCTCCTGCAGGGGGCGCTCTCTCTTTTCCTTTTCATAGGGAGACTGTAACTCAGTCTGCCACCAACAGGTCTCGCTAGAGGAGGAAACTTTGATCCGGACGTCTCTGTAGTTAAAGCTTTTTAGTTTATATAAAACTCAGTGTTCGGTTCCACAAGTAGACTAAAACATCCCATCTGTTAAAAACAAGTAAATGTATAAATATAAATAAATGTATTACTGTGTGCATAATATTGTATTTTGGCTTTTTTGTTTCTATTTTGTTTCTATTTTTATTTTTTTCTAATATATCTCTAATTCATTTTTTCTTCCTGTACCTTGCGCTTTTGTAACAAGTGAATTTCCCCATTGTGGGTTTAAGCAAGGCCTATGCCTATATTTATCTGAGCATCACAAACGGTTTACTCAATTCAATACTGTTATTTTCACATCTGACATTGGGAAAATACCTAAATAATAAATGTAATCATTTAAGGTTGAAATTTGATTACTTTTCTTAAAGTGACCCAAAATACACGAAAATAAAACTCAAATATGACCTTGATTCATTGAGATGTTTTTTAGGTCCACTAATGTGCATCAAATCAAGGAAAATGTGTAGTTTTAGGGAATTTTGAAACTGTGAAAATGTACATGCCATGTTTGTCTATCACATGCCCAGGTTCCTGCAGACAAAGGAACCTATTGGTCTTTGAAGGATCACGGTGGAATCGCCAAACAGCATCACAGTAAAACATCAGGGGGAATGATCATAAGTAACGAGGTATGAGGTCTGAAATAAGGTGGGCATAGTGGTAGACTGGTTAACACTGTTGCCTCAGTGCAAAAAGGTTCCTGGTTCATATGCTCGCTGTGGCAATTCTGTGTGGAATTTGCATGCTTGATCTACTTCAGTGTATCTAGAGTGTTTTTCCCCACAGTCCAAAGACTGTCAGGTTAATTGGGGATTCTGAATTTGCAGTCAATATGAAGAAGATAAAATACTTGAAGTGTATGGAATAAAGTTCTGTATCAATATATAGTTAAAGTGTGAATTATAGTAAGAAGAGTGATCATTAAAGCTATACTAAATATAAATGTGTGTACCAGCAGATAACACGTGAGAATATCTAACAATAAACAAACTGTAATCCATCTATTCTGAACTATTGAAGCAGAGATTAAAGGAGGGACTGCGGCAGATCAAGATTATAATGGCATGCGTGTGATTGACCTCTTATCGCTGCTTTGAACGCACAGACAAGTTTGCAATAAGCATTATTTTGCTCTAAGTGTTCATTAACATTGAATAAATATTGATCATCTGTGAAACAATATTTAAGGATAAATCATTCATTTATTAATGCAGAACAGGCTTTGTATATATTCTAAATTGATCTGATCTGTTGTTCAAAATTTAAATTTAAATAGATTCACCTGAAATCTTGCACTCTTCATGACATTTGTAGGACCACAATGAATAAATGGACAATGGAGAAAGGGCGACGCAACAATACATGTTCTGTGGCCATAGAATAGCCTCAGGGGCATTTCTCTGAAAAAAACCTGCCACCTGTAATTAACACATAAATGAGGGGAAGACCAGTGGCTTCTGTGAATGTTAAGAATGATTGTTGTCATACTGAACTGAAATGAATAGGCCTTTGTAAACATATCAGAGCCTTTAACCTAATTGTTGCTCCTCTACGTGCCATTCACGCACTGTTCAACACAAAAAAACAGTCTTTGACTAAAACTCAATTTGATACTTCTTGTGAGAATCTATAATTAACTAAGGCAAGGCCTATTAAAGGTCACAAAGCGAGACAAAGCGGCAGCACATAAAAGCCACCTGACTGCACTCTTACTGACCAACAGTGGACAGACCCAGGACCCAAAGTCAGCAATGAAGATGTAAGTCTGGATGGATTTATTTTGCATTTTAAACTTCTGTAGTTAAAGCTACTTTCGTGTACTAGCCACAAATGAGATATTGCATTAGTTTTGATATAAGTATGTATTTTCTAACTGAAATCTTGAATAATTTTTTCAGCCTCTTGTGTTGCCTGCTCCTGCTTCCATTTGCAGATATGGTGGTGGCAGCTTCTATCAAAGGTAAACCACTGAAAGAGAGTAAATAATTAAATATTGTTCAGGAAACTGTTAATTTTGTAATAAAATTCAAATCTGTCTAACAGGGCAATCCCCAAAAGAAGGTGTGTTAAGCTTTCTACATGGTAAGAACTATTCATGTCGCTAAACAATGCTTGTACCGCTGTTTGAAATGGTCACAAGACTTGTTCACTGCAAATTTGTAGATGCACTAGCACTTACTACAGAAAGGACCACACCTGCAGCCGTCACAGGTCAGTGCTTCCAAATGTAGCTTTCAGATATACTCACATCCTCAAATTACTTTTGGTTCTCTATAAAAATAATCCGGAGTGCATTAAAGAGAACAGAAACATTTCTAGTAATCGTGCTGTTTTTGTTGTTTACTTTTACTTGTTTAATGCAGCACAAAGGACCCCTCTATGTGGCACTGTGAATAAGCAAGACTCAGACGGTACACTTTTTTGTTGTTGTTCTCTTTTTCATTTTTAAAGAGCATCTAAAAACACACTGAACAAAACAAAAGAACTCAAACAAACAAAAAAAGCACAATTACTTTTTCAATAAATGGCTAAAAATTAATTCACAGATATGTCAGATGCCAAATCTACAGAGAGCTCTGAAACCAACAGATGTTCAGGTACGTGAACAATTTGGATGATGTGCAAATTTAGTAAAAAATAATGTAATGCTATATCAGTAAACAAAGATATTTTCTAATATTTCAGAACCTCATGCGTTTGACAAAAATGGAGATGAAAGCAGAGGTGCAGTGCTTTTAATCAAAATTATTAGCCAATTGAATCAAACTGTCTGTATCAGTGCGGTGAATGTGGTGATTCAGATGGCATAGCAATGACTTCCATTCTTCCTAGATGTATCCAAAGACCTTGACAGCGATGAGATCATGATTCCTGGAGCTGTGGCAAAAAATGAGGCTCCGTCAAGGAAGGTGACTGTAGTGGGCAAAGACAGTATGGCAGCGATGGATATGACCAGCAGCCTGGTTCAGGACTATGGGAGCAGGGAGCATAGTTTGATTCAAGGAGAACTCCAAGCAAGCAGAGACAGTGAGGAAGGAAGGATAACAAATGCTTGGGAGGGTGGCGGTCAAAGCACCAATCTCCAAAGGTGGGCCACACGAGGAAAAGTTAATGGGATGAGTGGTATGTTGGTCCATGGCCAAATCAGAGAAAGGCCAAATTGGGATAGTTTGGAGGACAGCAGTGAGAGCCTGGCTGGAGTGAGCACCAATAAACAAACGGACTATGATGGTAAGCCCATATTCTGTATGACATATTTCCAGGAGTTATGCTGTGAGAAATAAAAAAGCTATACAATTGTTAATATTCCCACAGAAACCAGAGAATATATGAGCTCTGAAACCTATCCAGTTGGTAAGAATTTGTTGTTCTCTTAATTACTAATGTAATGCACACAGTGACTGTTTCCAGAGGGTTATATCAGTGTTTGTGAACCTATCATTTCTTTGCTTTAGTCCCACAAGAGCACAGGCCCAGCAGCTTGCCCATTCCATCCAAGAGCCATGTCGCTTGATGAGCACACAGAGGTCAGTTTCCTCTGGATTTGAATCACATTTCAAGTATAACTCCAAGTAACCAACCTGACTTAGAAAACCACTGATGCCACATTGCCCGACTTAATTCCTCACATTTCCTTCACTTAAGATGAACCAGTTTTCTATATCTGGCTTGTGTTCCACATGTTCTGATTGCAGTTTTAACATTTTTCCTCTCTATTTTCAGATTGCATGTCTTCCTTATGAATCACGGATCACTGTCTGTTGACTCAGGAGACTCAACTCAAGACAGTTTGCTTCCACATCCGGATGCTGCAGGGACTTTTTATATCCAAAATTAGAATTTCAGCACACGTTTTTGTTCTCTGATCAAACAAACAAATGTAAAAAAGAAATATGTTTTGATTTAACCTGTGCTGGGTGTGTTGGTGTAAGCTGTCAGAGTGTGATGAAAATAAAGCCAACATCAATGAAATCATAAATGAAGCAATGCAATTACTTTTGAAGACTTGACAGGATCTGTCTGAGCCAAAAATCTGGTTTTAAAATGTAGTTTCATTTATTATTAGTTAGATACAAATACATATCATAAAACAGCCTAAAACAGGAATGTGAAGCAGCAAAGATTACATTTAGTGCCAGGCAGTACTCACTGAATACAACATCAATCAATTAATGCAGAATAAACAAATTATTTGCGAGTAAATGTGACAAATCTTAGTTTATATTTTACATTGTGGAGCTAATTACAAACAGGACACTGTCAGCACTTGTTATTCAGTCATTTCCTATAGTGCCGAAGTTCACTGTAAACATCTGACTGGACTCCATGTAACTCCTACAGAAAAGTCAAAGCAATGCATCATTGTAATACATATAATATACATTATATGTATTGTTTTGTTTCAAGTGTGTTTTTAGTTATTCATTTTTTATTTTTAAAAGAGTCTATACATCACCTGGTATGGAGATTCTGTGACCTCTGTTGCCATTTTCTTTGAAATTGATGATGGTACACTTCTTTTGCCTGATAGGAGATTCAGAAGTGTCAGGTTAATGCCCGTTTGGCATAACACCACTAGGCAAACATACACATGTAAAGAAAGGCACACGAATACAGTGCTCACCACTGTGTGATTCCCATTCCCTCTTTCTCCTCTGATGAGTCGCAAAGCAAAATACAGAAATAGTGATAAAGATGGTCAAGATGATGTCAGAGGCAATAATGCCTATTACAGATTCCATGTTTATCAGGTAACAGGAACCACATTCTGTTAAAACAAAAAAACCCCAACAACATATGATTGAAATACAAAAGCCAAACACACACATCATACAGGAGCAAAGAGTTAAAGCTAGATACCTTGCTGTCCTTCTGATGAGCCTGCGAGAAAAAGAATAAACGAACCTCAGTTTATAAAAAGGATCGAGGGTAGTCCTGTGTTCCTTTGCTACCATCGCTATAGATGTTCAAAACCAAAATATACGCTACTCACCAAACAACGAACCCACAATACAGAGAGCATCAGACATCTTCTAAAGTTTTTGGTTTCTGGTCTAAGAGGAAATGAGACAGGGAGGGTGAGAGCCTCCGGTCCTTCTGTTCTCTTTCGCTAGGCTCTCGCACCTAGATATCGAAAGGTAGAAGGGTTCTCTGGTAAAGGGCTGTCCACAGGGAGTGTTGTCAGGGTGTCAGGATTTGTGAGCATATGACTGTGATAGCAGGAGAAGTGAGTCCACTCAGAGAAGAGGAAGCTGGTGGTTCTGTTTTTGCCACATTCTTATGAGGAATGCTGCTCTATAAAAAGAAAATATTTGACTTTAATCCTTTAATTTATTTAAATTTTAATTTTTAGCGATGTTTTCATAAAAATAAAATCTAGGCTAGACAAAGATAAGGAGCTGTGTGAGGTCAGTTTCATTACACCTTCAGTTTCTGCAGAAATACGTGTGATAGTATCTCTGTATAGAGCGTTTCCGCATGACCTGTGGTTTAGTGCGAGCGGTTGGCCACAGTAAGAGCTACCTAGTCTCTGAGCCGCTTTAAAACCACCGGTTTATCTATAAGTCGGGTGTACTGTCAGTAAAAATGAAAGCTTCACTGTTATTGTCATGCAGATTCCCACATTTAACCAAATATACACATTACTGTTCATTACTGTTAGTAATTAAGAGGGTTAGTAGCAACTGGGTGCTGCGTTTGAAGAAATCAGGACACCCAGTGATATATTGAGCACAAATTCAGAATCAGTGAGTGTATGAACATTAAAACAAGAGACAAATTCAAGCATTTTGACTGTTTCTGATAATTACCAGTGAAACATCGTTGAAGTTTTGTATTTACTTTCACTTTACAGATTTAAGAAAGAAACAAAACCACAATCAAAACAAAACATGAGGAAAACAGAAAATCATAATCATAATAAATAACTTAACATGTTCGAAGAAGGAGTAGGAAGTGTCAAGGGGGCCCAGGGGCCAGTATGCGGGAGTGGACCCAAATGCAGACACGAGCAGGACAGTGATAAGATTTTAACAAACTTTATTGGGTGCATAGAGAAGCAAGATAATAAGATGTGGGGACATAGTGTGAGTCTCTGACATGAAGGCATTGAAACAGAGGGAGAACGAAGTTAGATGTTGAGTGGGGAGAGCAATTACTGGGGAAAAGGTGAACACTGAATTTGCGGCCTTATTTGCAGGAGGAGAGCATGGAGCTCTGAGGAGGGTAGCCAAAACTTGAGCTGCACACGAGTTACGCGGTGTCATGTCAGAGAAACTGAAGGCACAAGGAAATCAAGGCAAGTAAAGAGCATAGACATAAAGATACGAAGCAATGAGGCCTGGTTACCACCATGACGTAGCTGACAAACTGGCGGAGAGTGGATGACTGCGCTTAGCTATTGCCTCGCTGATTGCCGTCAATGGATGGGAGGTGAGCAAAACATGGAGGTGTTGACTTTATATGATCCAATATAGCATGGAGCTAGCTTGCGAGAGAGTGATTTGAGAGGAATGTCTCTGGCAGCAAGCCCTGGTGCATACTTGGGGTTTGGTCTTCTCAGCCGATCCCCGTAGCAGCGCTGTCCATCAGCGGTCCTTAGTAATGCTTCCAGAGTCCAGGAAGCATTGTCAACAACCGAAAGTTGTCGAACATGTCGAAAACTTTCGGTTTGACCATTGGATAGCCGGTGGTATCCGGTGCTAAGGCTTACTTTGGCTCCCAGGGAGGTGCAGAAGGTCTTCCAGACCTTTGAAGTGAACTGAGGACCTCTGTCAGAGACCTTATGGAGTCTGTGGAGTCTGAAAACATGATCAACAAAGAGCTTGGCGTTTTCGGAGGCAGAGGAGAGTTTGTCCAGAGAGACAAAATGGCCTGACTTGGAGAACCTGTCAATTGCAGGGAGAATTACGGACCGGAGGAAACAGGCTGAAGTAAACCTGATGGTCATTGATGGTCATTGAGTGCTACTTTTGTTTTGTGCACTGGTGGAACAGGGAACTTTATAGCCTTTAACATCACTTTGTAGAGTTCCCCACCAAAAGTAACGTCTGATAAATGGGGGTGACAGGTGACATGTGAACCCAATGAAGTGGAGACATAGCGATGATCAGGTGGCTCAGAGCATAAACCTGAACTGATGTCTTATCAGGTGACACTCTTGACCTTTATTCAATTACTTAGAAATTAATTACTTGGAAGACTGTTTTTAAAATATAAAACAAAATAAATAAAATATAAAATATAAAATATAAAAATAATTTCAAATACACTTTTTTACACAAACACAGATTAACAGGGAAATGTTGTGTTGTGTAACATTTTCTGTTAATTAACAAAGAAACAGGCAGCAAGGCATATTTGCTACATATCACCGGAAGTTTAGCTTTAAAAGTTGACATCATCCACAAAACTGTGAAAGTAAATGGCTCACAAGGTAATAAGAGACGGTTGAAAGGAGACACTGTACATCAATCAAGCACACTGTGTACTTGAGATCAGGCACATAAGTAAAGAGATATGAAATCACTTTGGTTAGCATTTTTCATTCTGTGTTTGCCCGAAAGGACAAAGTAGAGCCATGTTAACCACACAGTGGCTTCAACACACAGCGGAACCACGCTCCAAATCTAATCATGTCTTACACGTCTGAAATCTAATCAGGTCTTAAATGTCAGCTACAGAATGACAAAGTAGATGAAAGCAAGAAACAAACAGAAAGTAATGAGCAACTGAACAATCTGTGAAGCTATACAATGTAGAAAAACAAGACTAAGTTAACTGCCTAAAAACCATATAAATGTGTTCTGTGAACATGTCTGAAGATGAAATATTCCTCCATCTTTAAAAAAAAGAAAAAGAAAAACTTACCAGACACAAGAATGTTTTAGCTTTCTTTTATTAATGTGCTTTTTTTAAGCATTACTTTTTATACATTTTACAGTTTGTAAATATAATATGAACATTTGCACAACATCTCCATGTCCCGGTTAAACTATTTAGATAGTTTGCTACCACTACCCACCTTCAGGGGGTGCTGTATCCTCCAGTACAATCTGTGTCAAAATTGTTTATAGTTAACATTAAATAACACTGCTGAAAAATATTAAAGGAAGATTTAAACCACACATCTGATGTCCGTGAATAAAATACTCCTTGTATATTATTTTTTGTAATCAAAATGCTGTAACAATGGTTTGAGGGCTGATTATACAAAATCAGAGCAAAAATTAAAGTTAAGATTGCTCAAATGTTTCCTTGATGGTTTTTAACAGTGTATTTGAATGTTAACCATATGCAATTATTATTATCACACACAATTATTATTATAAAAATACAGTATTATTGTAGGGTCCTTATTTTACAATAAACAGGCAACTGTTGCTGTGAAATGGTACTATAAAGATAAAACTGGACTGCCTTTTTCAAAGTCTCTACTAAATAAACTGAAACACATCTTATCTAACTTTGTAACATATTTAAAATCACAGTCCACATTGTATGAGTATGAAATCCCATTTATGAGACTCTTTTATTTATTTTTTGTAGTATGAATTAACAGGTTGAAGTCTAAGTACAATTGGCTAAGAAGTAAGATATAAAATGTGTAAAACAATGTGTTCATGTTAACTTAAAATGTAATAGTTAAAGATTCTTTTGTATAATTAATTTTCAGAGAAGATTTCTTTAAAAAAGGTAAACAGTTTTCTACAAGAAAGTTGAAAGTGTTTTCATGCACTGCACCATCCTTTTAGCTCTTGCAGTTGGCCCGGACATTCATATACACTTTGTGAGCTGTGAAGAAATCAGACAAGAGACAGCACAATGGAGAAAAGCTATTAGTTGAAAGTATATACACTCGATGCTAAAATCACACATAACATAAGAAGTCAGTTTGATGAATATAGTAAAAATATAGTTGAGAAACAGTCTTATAGGTGAATATGAAAGAAAAAAGAAGAAATCCAACGTGATAAAATAAAAGGGCTTCCAGGGACCGGCGAGCCCTTCACCATCATCTTACCATTATCTATCTTTTGACGCCGAAAACTGGCACATCGGTATGTTACAACGACAATAATAAGGGTCAGCACCACATCTGCACAGATGATGCCTGCTATTGTTCCTGGCTCAATCCTATAGCAAGACACTGTGCTGTCTGGTAAATACAAAAAGTGAGAAACAGACAGTTAGACAGAAATGTAGTGGGAAGAAAGAAAAAAAACCCAAGAGATGCAGGGAAAAACTGAGTCATCACGACTGGTTGCCTAGTTCTGCATTTACTTTTATTTTTATTTTTTTCTCTAAACATTAAGATTCATTTTTTTAAAATGCATTTAGGAAGTTGACACATCATCTTTTTTGATACTTACCAGCAAGTGCTGGAGCAAGGCCTTAGAGAAAGAAAGGGAACAAAGAGGGATATGTTAGTTGAAACTTACTTTAAGCTCCTGTAACAAGTCAGTTAAGTTTCCGTTGTGCACAGCAGCTTGTGGTTTTACTTTCCTGTGTAAGACCACCTTCATTTTGAGCGTGTGTACAAAAAGAAAAGAGAAATACTATTAAATCATCCTTACTGAAAAAAAACCCAAATAGGACAACGGTGAGGAATTTGTTATTTGCCATTGCCACGAAGGTCGGCTCAGTTATGTTCTATCTGAAAGACAAGAAGAGACCAAACATTGTCCTATATTACATGTTCCAAAGATGTGGAGAATAAAGTTCATGTTACAGTATCTATTCTTCGAATTTTGATACATTTTAATTTTTGTATTAAGGACAGAACATCTGAAATGTCTCAGAACTGTAGGCTTGACCTCTTTTGTATACTCTACATCACAACGAGACATGATGGACTGTGTGGGTAGTTACAAAGCGATAGAGATAAAATTAGTAAATGAAAAATTCAGAAAATGTTAACATATCTCTAAATCATTACGGTTATTTAAAAAAAAAAAAAGATTTAGCTCAAGCAACTGCATTTCATATGCAAACATTTCCTGTTCACAACTTCATAAATCCAACCTTTCCTCGAATAATCTAACGATTAAAAACATTCTGACAGATTAAATCTTTAAAAGTAATGAAAGTAAATGGGAGTCCAAAAAATTGTACCTTCTCTGGTTTGCTGATCTGCCTTCTGCTATCCAAAACATGGTGTGACTTCCTATTCATTTTCTCCTCTGACATCTCTGACGTCAAACTTTCTAACTTCCTTTGGTGGGCTGAAGCACCGTCTGCAAGCTTGTCTCCACTACAGATTATTTAATAACAGTTGAGCTCTGACAGAGTGAATCTGTATTTAATGGAGTACAACATTGTTTCCAAAAAACCCACAATATATCCAATGTTGAAAGGAAGAATGTGGGAATCAGTTGTATTTATTTACTACAGTCCATTGCTGCTGTTAGCTGTTGTAGCTGCTGAATGTGGTTTTGGGTTTCTGTTTTTTTCAAATGTTTTTGCTGTCAGCGTTCACACTGACAGAAACTGTGGGTTGTTAAATGTCACCACTGCTGATGCTTACAACATAACTCTTGGCTACTCCTGAAAGCTAGAAAAGAAAAAAGAAAATAAAAGTTATATTTTATTTAATATGTATATAATCGTAAAATGATATTTCAAGATTCATTTGAATAAACTGTAATAAATACATTTCACTGAATCCCTTCTTCCAGCGATTCAGATTTTGAGTTTCGTAAAATTCTTTATTTACACATTTTATCCAGTGGTTGCAAAATAAATCTTGTATTTTGTTCAGTGCGGTTTGACTTCGGTTTCGGTTCAGGTCAGCAATATTGCACTGCCACCTGCTATATTCTAGTTGTACAACAGCAGAGGGAGCTGCAGGCCTTCTCATAGAATGACCAAGCTCATCTGTTAGAGCAAAGATCAATAAATGAGCAGAAAACATAAAGGGGAAATAGCAGGACTAAACACTTAAATTGAAGTAAAACAGTTAAAAGACCACAGAAAAATAAAGGTGCACATTGATGCACACATGGCTACGACTGCTTTCTTGTTGTCTCTTCTGTAAACAAGCTTTGTAGCCACAAAAGCAGTGAATGTACAACCTGTGGGTGAGGTTAGTTACCTTATAGAGCAGGAGTGTCAAACTCAAATACACAGTGGGCCAAAATTCAAAACTGGAACAAAGTTGCGGGCTAACATTAATATTTATTGAAAAAAAAATTTTCCTCCAGATTTAAGAATGAATCTCTTCTTATGGACTCAAACAAGTTTTGCTGAAAAACTGAATATGGAACAAGCAAAGCGTAATACTAAAAAATATATATATTAGCTGTATAATACCAGTAGGCCAGCTCTAATAGTAATTTTGTATGGCTTCGCGGGCCAAATGTAATTAGGCTGCGGGCCAAATTTGGCCCGCGGGCCAGAGTTTGACACCTATGTTATAGAGGATTGTGAAAAGCACAGAGTACTGCTTATACCACATCTATAATGTTAGAAGGGGAAAAAAACACTTCCCTGTTTTATTTAATTTAGCATTACATTTCTTCATTGATATTTATTATTGGTCTGAAATTTGTACTTCCACTTTTTCCTTCTATTCTAATTAATATCCATCCATTCTCTTCTGCTTATCCAATTCATGGTTGATTTGAATGGGCAATTTGGAATCACCAATTAACCTAATCCAAGTAATTTCTAGACTTTGGACTGAGGAAACCAGAGTAACCAGAGTACGGGGAGAACATGGCAGCAGACTCAGAACCTTCTTGATCTGACGCAACATATAATATAATAAAACAACATAGTTCAACATTTGAGTCTTGAAATACTTTGGGTTTGTTGGTTACTATTTTAGTAAAGCGATCCACTAGCCACTTCATTAGGTACACTTTGCTAGTATCAGGTTGGACCTCCTTTTGCCTTCAGAAGTGCTCTAATTATTCATGACACTGATTCAACAAGCTAGAAACATTCCTGAGAGATTTTGGTCCATATTGACATGATAACATCACACAGTTGCTGCAGATTTTGTTAGCTGCAAATCCATAATGACCATTTGAGAAAAGTGAACTCATTCTCATGATCAATAAACTAGTTTGAGATCATTTATGCTTTGTGACATAGTGTATTTTCCTGCTCCATGCAGCCATCAGAAGATGGGTACAGCAGTCATAAAGGTAAGCAAAAATACTCAGGTTATGCTGTGGTGTTTAAACAGTGTCTATTGATACTAAAGGTCTGAAAGTGTGCCAAGAAAACAACCTCAACATCATTACACCAACACCACCCACCAGAACGACTGATACAAAGCAGGATGGTGGTGACCCCGCCATCAAAATGTTGCAGCAGAAATCACAGGCAATGTTTTTACAGTTTTTACAGTTTTCTGTTGTCCGTGTTCGGTGAGCCTGTGTAACCTGTAGCCTCAGTTTCCTGTTCTTAGCTGTGTGAGTGGCACCCTGTGTGGTCTTCTGCTGTTGCAGCCCATCTGCTTTAAGATTCGACATGTGTGTTCAGAGATGCTCTTCTGTAGTTCAGTTGAAAACTGTTGTGATTTGATTTACTTTCGCCACTGACCTCTGGCATGAACAAGACATGTTCACTACCACTCACTGGACATGTTCTTTTTTTGGACCATTCTCTGTAAACCCTAGAGATGGTTGTGTGGGAAAATCCCAGTACATCAGCAGTTTCTGAAATACTCAGATCAGTCAGTATGGCACCAGCGACTGTGCCATAGTCAGCGTCATTTAAGTCACTTACCTTCCCCATTCTTATGCTCAGTATTAACTTCAGACAGTCTTGACCGTGTCCATGTCACTCAGTTGCTTTTGTGTGATTGGCTAATTTTGATATTAATGAGCAGGTGATTTGGGTGTAACTAATATTGTGGCCACTGAGTGTATATCTATTATGTTAGCATTAAAGATATTATTCAGCAAATTAACTACAGATTCTCATTATCCTTTAAATAGCCTCCTTAAGAAGAATACTGTTACTTGTAGACACTTATCTCTTCTGAATATGTGAAGATAAGGGGACATCAAAGAACTGCCATATCTTTGACGGTTACATAGTTACTGTGACTTAATCTAATAACATAAGTAAAGTGACTAAGAAAGTAAGTTAAAATCTTTAAAATCCCCATATCTTTAAATAGTTAGCAAAAATACTTTTAACATAATTTTGGAGCCCTGTAAATAGTTGCTACCAAAACATGAGAAGAAGTCCCCAGAGGTTGATTGTTTACCCTGAAAAGATTCTCTGAAGAATGATGCATAACTTTCTCTGAAAGGAGCTTATTCGTTTTCTTTCTGACTAGGAAAAGTGTAGCTGAGCATGTGGCAGACCTGAGGTATTTCCAGTAGTTATGTGTACAGGTATACTGGCATTAGCAGAGCAAATGTGGGATGTAGAATATAGATCAAACCATCTGGAGAATTTACTGAGAGGTGGAGCCAGCACTCTTGGTTAGGCTTTGGGCTGGGCTGTGGATGACCACAGCCTGATATACTAAACACAGAAAACATCTTGTGTAGTTTCCCTTCTTTTATCTGCCCTTTTAAGTCTGAGTTGTTCCTTGAACTAAACAGAGCTTTCAGCAACAAAAAGTCATCAGGGTCCAGAGTCATCTAATAGAATGAAGACTAAACTTGGGACTGCTGCACAGACAGTTAAAGCTGGATGGGCTTATTATTAAACTGTGTCCACTGTATGCATTAACTCTGCCTACTGGATATAAACTAAACATCTGAAGATATTATATCTATAGTATATAGATAAGTAAATATTTCCAACACGGTATATATTTGTATTATAATCACTAGACGGTACTATCCTTTTTCTTTGTATCTGACTTTCTTCCATTCATTGTTTTTGTTGTTGTTCTGCTTCTTTCTTCTTTTTCTAAATGGAAAAAACCTAAATCACAGAATTCTCACACATACAAGAGATGCAAAAGCTTGAAGTTTACCCATTACATTCATTTTCAGCTTGCCATTTACAGTTTTGGATCTGACTAGAGTAGGTCTGCATGATTCACAGATTAAAATAATGCTTATTTATGTTATCTTATTCCTTTACAGATTTCATACTGCGCTCCGAGGTTCAACCTTTGTCTTAAACGGGCTTTTTCACCTCTGTCTTCAAGGTCACCCTCTCTTTAAGTTGATTTTCTTCTGATTAGCTGCCCTTTGCATACAAAAGGTTTGAATAGCAAGTGAGCGTGACTGCTGTATTTACAGACAATGATAATCATATTAAGGACACCCACTCAGACTGAGAATAATACAGAAAACCACAGACTTCAGGACAGCCTCAAGACTGCACTTTTTGCTCAATTATTTGAGAATTGTTTAATATGAATTCACACAATGGGAACATGTATGACAGGGCGAGCATTAGGGTCACTATAACATTTTGTGATGAATGTACAGGTCACAAGCCCTAGTCCTGAATATATGGAAGTGTGTATTTAGTCCTCTGGGTAGGTTCATATCTGAGAGCATATTTACAGCAAGCACACAAATGGAATATCCAAACCATTCAAAAATAACTAAACCCACAGCTAAATAACTGACGAGACACATTTTTCCTTTAACATTGTTTGTTTAGTAGCACTTTTTCACAATTACACATTCTTTAAATATATATTCTAAACTCTTTTTTCCACTTGTTTACATCTTTCTGCATTATTATGTTGTTCAACCTCTCTCTGTGTTGTCTGACAATTGTTTATGGAGAAAGTAGGCAAAAAAAACCCTAAACATATATATTAGTCATTTGGCAAAAAACAAAAAAACAACTCACCACCAAGTTGGATGTTTTGATGTTGTTTTTCTCTTTAGGTGACACAGAGATTCCCGTAAGACTTTATCTGTACTGGTAACAAAGATAAGAGAAAGATAATATGTTTACATGTAGCTTACATACAGTCCACAAAGAAGAGCTGGAAAGGAAGGTCTGGGCATCTCTATTGACACTGTGGGCAGCAGAATGGCAGAAAATGGATATTTTAAATCATAATAAATAGCCTGTTCACTGTAAGCTGAGATCACATTTTTTAGCTATAAAAACAAACTTGATAGGAGTTCATTATCTTTAGAACTTTATATAAGTCATAATAACAGTAGGTTTAGATAACGTGTTACTATATTTCTTTAGTTTTCTA